GCTTGAGGCTCAGAATGCTAAGGCCAAGACCAATCACAGGAAGCACCGCTCTGAAGGTATTGGGTATGGTGAAAGACTGAAAGACGTGGAAGTGTGTAAAATGAATAAATTCAGTGAACAAAAAAAAACCAAAAACATAAAAATAAAAGTTGAAGAGAAAATCTTGGAAAAAGTACACAACTAGAGGAATTTTGGACCTTCTACATCAGGGGTGTCCAATCCTGGTCCTCAAGGGCCACAATTCTGCATGTTTTAGATGTTTCTCTCTTCCAACACACCTGATTCAAATGATCAGGATCGTTATCAGGCTTCTGCAGAGCTTGATGATGAGCTGATTATTTGAATCAGGGAAACATCTAAAACATGCAGGATTGTGGCCCTCGAAGACCAGGATTGGACACCCCTGTTCTACATGACTCTTGTTCACTGTGGCATTGCTTTCCTTTCTTGGTTCTGTTCTGATTTTGCTTCAACTGATTATTATAATGTATTTTCCTTCTCCTTTTTTCATTCTGCCTGTAGTAACAAAGGTGTCTAAGCAGCTAATGCTGTTAGAAGTGGAAAAACAGCGTTTGCTGGAGGAACTGGAAGAGAGCAGGAGGGAGATGCGTAAACATACGAAGGAGGTTGAAGTTGTGCAGGCTCGCCTGAAGGATGCTGTCACCTGGGATGAACACTGCAACATTGCTGGGAAACTCCGAAGGTACCGCAGCTCTCTTATTTTATTAATTATTTGTGCCTCTGAAAGATTTGTTAGTCAGTATTAGAATAGTTATTTTCCACTGAACAAGAAAGAGAAGAACTGAACATTAAACACTTTGTATTAGCCACACACATTCTTACTTACTGTGTGTTATGAAGGGAGTAAAGTTACCTTTGTTTATCATTGTTTCAGTTTACAATTGATTTGTATCAGATAAATCAATCATTCATTCATTCAACATTTATTTAAATCTTGAGGAATTATTGAGGGCAAGCCCTCATTTACAATGATGTCGACAGTATAGTCAACAGGATAAAAAGGCGCCAATTGATGAGACAACAAAGAAAGGAGCACAGCTAAAAACAAACACACTCCAAGGCAGTATAGTGTGTTATCTTGGATTTAAACTAGTCAACAGATATGGTTGCACCAAGCCTTATCATTTTCTGCAGTATGTTCTAACTATGTGCACTTAAAAAACTGGAAGCATTTATACCACCTGTAGTGTAGGCACGTGGGACTTTGATTGTTAGCTAACAGCTTGAGCGAGTTGAATAGTTAATTTGGGATGAATTTAACAAGAAAGTTATCTGTTGTGGCATTTTGCCAATCAATGTTTTCTAGATAAACAGAAACCAATGCCTGTTTGGCCTTGCTGCTAAAGGTGGCCAGCCAGCGTTCTTATACAGTAAGCAGTGATGAGTGGAATAGCTGCCACAGGTGATGAATCTGAGAACTAAGTGGTAAACTAAATCTAAAGTATTCAGGGTGGAAATAAAGGCGTTTCTGTACATGACTCCTCCATAATCTTGGACAGACAAGAAAGACTGCTTCGGTTATTTGCTTTCTGCAAAATACAAATTTATTCATTCATTCATTCATTCATTCATTCATTCATTCATTCATTTATTCATTTATTTATTTATTTATTTGGCGTTTTTGATGTGCCTAAAGACCTGAGTGAAAAAAGCAATAAATGCCATTGTTGAGTATTTCCATATTTGAAGCTGCAGATTTGGACATCCAGGTTTCATATGTAACAATCCTAAGGAACCATTTCCCATTGAGGGACTTTCCTCATCATTATTCTTCTTCAGAAGCAGTTTCTACTTTAAACATGTATTGCTGAACTGCTCCAATGTCACTCTATGCCATTGTAGTGTAAAGTAGTTTCACAGCATTTGAGCAGAGTTGTAGGTGAGCCAGTTGGGTTCAAGCTGCTGTGAGTGGAGAGGTATCAGTGTGAGAAAGGTGGGGACTTTGTAGGTCTGCACATTGTAGAGGAAGTACTGGTGTAGAATTTTATCTATGACAGCGGCCCCCAACCACCGGGCCGCAGACCGGTACCGGGCCGTGGGTCATTTGGTACCAGGCTGCACAGAAAAAATAAAAGCGTTTTATTGGTTTGTTTTATTTCTGGCAGAGTCTGCAGGGTGTTTAATTTTGAAAAATGGCTAGCCTCTCTCCTGTCACTTCCTGTTTCCCATCACTTCACTGTCAGTTTTCCTGCCCAGCCTTTAAATGGAGCCGTCAGTCTAAATGCTGCCAAAATGAATCAAACCAAACGTCTCTGGAGAGCTTCTTTGAAAAGAGGGAGAGACTTGATGCTGAGACAGAAGATAAAGTAAATTCATATTTTGTAATAAAAAGTAATTTTATTAGTTTATGCCACTTTTTTAATAGAAAAAACAATCATTTGTTATGTGCACAATGACTGGTCCATAGAAAATTGTCTTGCTTGAAACTGGTCCATGGTGGAAAAAAGGTTGGAGACTGCCAATCTAAGACATTTTAAATGGAAAAATAAAACATCTAAATATGTAACTTTGACACAGAGAGATGAGTCTTTATGGTTCAAATCCATGACTGGAGAGGAAGGTTAAGCTTAGACAAACATCTTTAGGTTGTATGTTGCATCTATAGTTTGTTGTGTAGTTCACCTGTTTAATCTGCCATCATACAGAAATCATTGATAAAGCTCAATTTTCTCAACAACTGAATGCTGTATAACAGCAAAAATGGAAGATGGTTACACATACTTTACATAACACCAAGTACATACATCAAGTATGACAAAAGCTGAAATGAGGAGACCATGGTTTTGGACAATCATATGATTAGATGTAGTTTGTTGAAAAGTGATCATCAAGTACCAGATGTTGTGTTATGGTATTCTGTAAAGTCTATTCTTGACTCTCAGACAGTTGGAGCAGCAGGAGAACAGTAATAAGAGGGAAATGGACGAATTGCTTCTTAGAGTGTCCAGTCTACAGGAGGAAAATAGGAGTCTGGCTCTGGATAAAGCCAACCTGACTTCTGATATCCAGAGAAAGGAGGCTGAACTGGAGCTCTGCAGACAAGCTAACAGGTAGTATACAGTGTCTTTGTCTGCTTTCATCTCACACATAAAACCTGTTGCGTCCCAGTGGGACACAGATACTTGATTGATTTTTATTTTTATTTTTTTAATGTTCAGTAGCACTCAGGACAAAAGTTTATTTATGGTACAACGGATGAGGCTTAATTTGATTTGTGAAATTTTAAAATATGAAAAGGTTTTTGCTTAAGACTTAATTTTGTGCAAAAGATACAAAATGTTTGTATGTTCGCATATTGATGTATTCTGTGAAGTAAAATCAATTAACCTTTCTTTTTGTATTTGATTCTAAAATATATATGCAAAACTTATTGCATTACAATGTGGTTATGTAAAACTCGTATACACCAACTGTCCATCGATCAGGTGTTTTTACATATTTAGCTCTATTATGGCTCTACTTCTGTGTTCGATTCATATTTCCTTAAATGTCCTGAGTTGACCTCTTGTCTAAACATATGTTATTACAATCCAAGTACATTAAATATTATTTTGAAACTATTAATGCTTGGCGGGCAATGTTACAGCCTTCAACACACTGGACAGATATAAAGTGAAGTTGTTGGAATGGCTTTCCAACAACGTTAGACATCTTACCGTAGCTCAGATCAGGTTATTTTCCAGTGCTGATTTATTTTTGTCAGAGATAAAAATATGTTCTGGTCTGGAATCTTCCTCTGCTCCCTATAGACTTGAACTGAGATCAATGTGGACTTTCTCAATTTGAAGTGTGAAGACTGTCAGAAGGTGTTTGATTAACCAACAATGTTTTCACCCGCCTTGTGCAGATGGCAAGGTCTCAAGATATCATCCAGTTAACTCCTTGACTCTCTTTTTGTTCTGTGTTTTCAACCTCTCCATCTACCCCATTCCTTTCCCTTAACCCACGTTATATTTTCTCCTAAACCCCCTTTTCTGTGTCGTTCTTTTTCTTTCTCTCCATGTTTCTCTTCCTTTGTCTTTAATTCTCTTTTACCTTTTCCCTTCCTCACTGCTGTCATCCCCTCAATCAGGAAGGTTGAGAGAAGGATGAGTGTACTGAAGCAACAAAAGGACGAGTGTGTGTTGAAGGAAGAAAAGACTCGGCATTACCTGGGAGCTGTCATTTCTGTGGCAGAGCACATTTCCCAGGAGAGAGACCAGCTATTACACACGGTACTACTGATGCTACTGATACTGTAGAAAGATTTGGCACTGCACATCATAGTGCTTACATGCACACACAACACACAGATAAGTTCCACTATACACCACCACAGCCACCTTTGAAAAACCAGTACATCAGGAAGGTGGCATCAGGTACACTCTGAGATGTCAGTTGGTTGCAAAATTAAGTAGATTTTTGTATAGGCTGTTCACAGACACTCTTTTGCCACAGTGCAATAAACAAAACCAAGATGACTACGAACAGAAAATTAATACATTTCATAGGAAGCCAACGCTCACTTTTTATTACCAAAGGATTAGATGGGAGCTCATAGCTATTGCCCTTTTTTTAAAAAAAATATGCTATTCTCATTTTCTTACCAAAAATATTTTATTGATAAAATGGAAAACGGCCTGAATGTAGCCGTGTTTGTGCTTCACCCATTCTGCTGAACAGCACTACTGTAAATTGGCTACACACTTTAAAGTCTTTCCTGGTTTTCCTCTGTTCAGCTCTCCCATGATCTCTCACGTTCTTTATCCAAATGTGCGTGCTGCCCTCCCACTGTGCCTTAGATCAGTAACCCCTCGTGTTCCCTGTCTACCTCCCTAGGCTTCGGCTCTTCAGCAGGAAAAGCAGGGATTCATCAGCAGAGTTCTGAACGGCACAGTTCGATTTGGAAAGCTACAGGAAGAGGTCAAAGTAAGTTCCCTCAAACATCAGTTTCACACTGCAATTAATTCTTCCGAAAGGCCTGTTTGACTATGGAAGAATTTTATCGCTCGAGTATCATGCTTGGGTTTGGTCTTGCATACATGAAGTAAACAGAGCTATTAAAATTCCAAGAAGTTCTGTATATTCTGTTCCAAACTTGTCTGCCAGGAACCGATTCCCTACAGCTACTCTGCTATATGGTAAGCAGGTCAATTCGAGCTTCGCCCCCTTTGCAGAGCAAACTTCAAAAGATACACATTTGGCTCAGCTGCTGTCTCAAACACAACATTTTCAGTTTACTGTGCTCACAGTTGTCCTCAAATGTAGTTCCTGTTGATCAGCCCACTCTACTGCAGTTGATAAACCAGCGACTATCAGTCTCCACCTTTCAGAAAGCATAAATTGATGAACAGTTGTGTGCCTCAGATCACCATCTCTCAGGTGGGGTTCAACGGGGCTCTGGTCTACCGTTTTTTGAGTGTTCTTCTGATACTGTTATGCGTTAGTAGTATTTGTGCTCCGAATTACTTTCTGTTATGCTCTATTACTGCTGCTGATACAACTAGTGCAACCCGCGGCTCCGGAGCAGCATGTGGCCCTTTGATCCCTCTGCTGTGGCACCTTGTGGCTTTGGAAAATAAAAGAGTATTTACTTTAAATTTATTTTATTTTAGTTTTTTCGTTTTTAAAATGTAATTGTAACATTAAAATAAAACGTGTTTAATTTTTTGTAGCGCAAAATATGTGTCACAACCTCCGATGTGCGACACCTGCGGGTATGCGCAGTATTGCCAACTCTGTGACTTTCTTGCTAAATCTGGCGACTTTCCAAATTCATCTGGTGACTTTTTTTGTCAAAAGCGACTAGTGACACATCTAGCGACTCTTTCTGGTGTGACTGGAGACTTTTCTGGTGTTTTGGAGACTCTGACATGGCAAAAACATATCATTCTGCAGTTACTGTCCTCAGTGAGCAGCGGTGCTTCCGTGAGCTCCTCCCATCCCAAAGCGCTCCCAGGCGGTCAGGAGTCTGGTCAGCAGTCCCAGCTGCAGTCAGCAGGACAACCAGACGGCATTTTTACTTTGCTGCAGGTGAATTATTTAAGTTCGCCTTTCTGTTTCTGTCAAGAACTCACACAGATCAGAACGAGCGGATGCAAATCCTTGACATAGTCAGGGTTCAGGCAAAAAGGCAGGTTTATTACCGGTCAGGGTTTGGTACACAGAAGGTCAGTCAAAACAGGCAGAGGTATCCAAAAAATGAGAGGTGAAAGGCAAGGTCCAAAAACAGAAGCAAGGGCGTAACAAAGCAGACTATGACTATGACTATGAACAACGCTGGTACGAAGACTGTGAGACCCGTAAGGTAATATACACAAGGTAATGAGGGGAGATGGGAAACAGGTGAGGGAAAGCCATCAGGGAGCAGGTGTGACGAGACAGGTGCAGGAAGTAAATCTAGGAGAGAGACAACCGGTTAGTGATTTCAAAATATAACAGAAAAGACAAGACATAAAATGTGCACACATGAACAGAAACTTGACAGACACGACAATTTCATAAATACGAGGAGGATTCGAATAGACATTGAGTATTTTATTTGAAAGTAACCTTCAACCCAGCGTTTATTTATTTATTTTTTTCCCAGAGTTCAAAATGTTTTTGTAGCAGAAATGGAATTTCGCTTTCTCTGTAGCAGTTCATTGGTTTCATAAATGCAACACACTATAGTTTTTATGCATAGCATAAAGGTAAAAATGATATATGCAGTGTTATCTTCATTTTAGATGTCAAAGGGTTTAGTGGCTCCTAGCGTTTTCTTTTCCGTGGGAAATGGGTCCAAATGGCTCTTTGAATGTAGAGGGTTGCTGACCCCTGTACTACTGCTATTTCCTAACAAGCAATTGGCACTATTTTGTCACCTGGAATTGCACTCATATACTTTTCATTTAGGATAATTTTATGGACTGAGACCCTAATGCAGGTATTGTTCAGTGCAGACATGATTTAAACATAGTGAAGCAGGCTTCATTTGGCAGTGGTCTGGCAAAATGTAGCAACTCATAAACAACGTTAGAAGTTTTAGGTAGACAGTCATGTAAACTGTGCAGGCAAGGGCCAAAAACTATAGCAAGTGAGCACACAATTGAAGTAACCACAACATCGCAGTTACTTAATTTCACAGTAAATGTGCAACTTTGTCTAGCTGCACTGTCACTAATTATGCTACAACTTAACTTGGTTATCAGCATTTTTATTCAGTGAAGCACTCAGATGACATGGGAGAGAGCCCAACTACAAACTTGTGTAAAGAAGGATGGAAAGAAATAGACCTGCCAATTTTATGTAAAAAAGAAAAATGACGCAAGATTTGATATGCAACATTATTTCAATCCCATGTCTATGGTATGTTTTTGTACTTGGGTATTCTTTACACAAGGGTGGTCATAGCTAATTGTAGACTGAAAGACATAGTGAGTTTTCATGTTATTTATTCTTTGGCAAAAACTGCATCGTTCACACCAATTTCCATAGAAATAAGATTCTTTTTTGTTTGTTTGTTTGTTTGTTTTGTTTGGTATGCCAAACACTAACATGAAATGAGCCTGGCAGTATAACACCTTGCTCTAGAGCCAATGGTCTGTTTGTTCCAGCTGTCAGCAGCTCTTGTCACTCAAGCCACGGCAGGGAAAATATCTCAGTAGTTCTGACAATTTTATTAGTGTCTCTAAAGCAACAGTTGGGAGAGAGGTGTGTGTGAATATGAGTTCCATGGGTGGTGATGAGACTGTTGTAAAAGGACAACTATACTTCATTAGTCGTCTTCCTCATTCCCTGCTAGAGAAACTAGAAATGAACAAGGATTATCATTTAAAGGAGATATTATACCTGTCTTTCAAAGTGTTGTGTTGGTATAATAAAGCTGTATTTAGCTGTAAGCTGTAAGGATTGTTTCAACTTTACTTAGAATATACATTTTTAACTGCTGACTGTCATAGACCTGCCACAATATGATAAATGGGTCATGCATCAGTACGTAGTGGCATTATGTATCAAAACAGGGCTGCATGTAAGAATATTCAATTATTTTCACATTGCCAGTTAATTGCTCTTAGACGAGTTACTTAAATGAGTAACTGAGTGTCAGCTGAGGCCTGTATGGAAAAACCCTTTCTTCAACCTGCCCCATACTGACGTCACTATTAAACACTGCACAGACAAGAAACAAATAGTAAAAATACACAAATTCAGGGCGCCGCTATAGCTCACCTGGTTGAGCTGGCGTCCCATGTACAGGGCTACAGTCCCAATGTGGAGGTCATGAGCTCAAATCCCGCTCATGACCCTTTCCCACATGTCCTCCCCCCATTCTTCTCCCCTACTTTCCTGTCTCTCTCTCACTGCACTATCAATAAAGGCACAAAGGCCAAAAAAATAACTTTAAAAAAAAATACACAAATTCAGTTTGAACTAGCCAATCCCAGTTCATATTTTTTTGGAAGTTAACACTAGCCAGAGCTGGACCCTTTTTACACAGGATCTTATTTTGTGTGTATATATTGCTGTGCTCTCTTATTTCTGAGCCAGCCCAGTCTTTACACTATTTCTAGTTTAGTTAAGCGCAATGAGATGCAATGATTAATGCAACATGTGATGAGCTGTTTTTGCTTATTTTGATTCTGCACAAGTCTGTCTTTGTCAAATCAATCATATATCAGCCTTGTATAGAAGTAAGGTTGGTACACATTACAAAGTTGTGACTTTTCAGAATGGAAAACTTCCATGAAAAGACGTGCATGTGTAGTGGTGCAAAAAATGGCAATTCGGAATGTAAACAGACTGCCCTCTGAAAATGAATTAGATGTATCCCACAATTGTTAGGAGTGAGCTCCTATTTTACAGGAAGTGGACCCAAAAAATGTGACAAGGGAGGTGGGTTGCTAAAAGAGGGTTTTTATTAGGGGAAGGAGGGAGGACACCAAGGAAACAGGAGGGGGAAGTGAGGGGATGTGAAAGGGCTTAGGGGGCTCCAGCGGTGTGTGTTCTGTGGAGAGGGTGCTTGTGACGGCTAGGATCCAGTGGGGGAAAACCTGGAGGGCTGCTGCTGGTGGTTGCCTCGAAATGACTGGGCAGGAGAGGCGTCAGGTTGAGGAGGCTCTGCAGAGAACGCCGACACAAAAACGTCAACATGGAATTAAATAACAACAAACCCGAGAACTCGAGAAGAAGCGTGGCCGATCTACCGCTCGTAGGGGAGTGAATCCTCTGGCGCCGCATCATGGGAAGAAGCCAGCTTAAAAGCAGTGCTGATTATGATGTGGACAGGTGCGGTAGAGAGCGAGTGAGTCCTCCTTGACTATGGCCCCGCCCAGCCTGAAAATGGAAAGCAAAACTACAACACACAGGAAATCGAATTACCAAAATAAAGGCTCGAAACTAGAACCCCAACAACAATAATTCCATTTATAGAATTTATCACAATAAGATTTTGCTTGTGCCATATGCAGTGTCTTCACACTAGCACTAGGGCTCAGCTCCAGCAACTCCCTGTATCATGACATTTGGTTAAACCTCAGCTTGTATGACTTCATGGAGTTCACTCCTTTAAATGACAAAAAAAGTCCACAATAGGATTGTTCCACTTCACTGATTGTCTCACAGAGGCTCTGAAAAACAGCAAAATGGAATTGCAGCTGTTACTCTTTTTTGCCTTACATTTACTAAAGTCCCTTCTAACAGCATTTCACTGCAGCTCATAGGGAGTGCTAAAGCTGCTGAGAAACTCTTTCTTAAAGGCACATTTCAGCATGTTACTGATGGTGAGAAGGGAATGTTAGTTCAAAGTTATTTCATCCCTGGCTCTCACTTTACATGCAATTCCAGAATTTCTTATTTATTTATTTTTTTAAATTTAGTTTAATTTTTTATTTATTTTTTTTATTTTTGGATGATCGTTTTAGTGACCAGCCTAAGCCCTCAGTGGTTGTTTTTAACCTGTAGTGACTGTAACATCTGTTGCCACTATATGAGTTGAAAAGAAAAGGATTGTGTGTTCAGTGTGTGCTATAAAGAGAAAGCAGATGTGAGTTCATTATTCATATGTAATTAAAATTTATACCCCTCCATCTCTTGGAAACCCTTGAAAATCTTAAATATTTTAGTGTTTGCATGTATAATTTTTATACATTTTATAATTTTCTCACATCATGAAAGTCCTGGAGAGACTCTTACTGGCTCACCTCAACAAGCAAGTCAACGCCTTTCAGGACCCATTACAGTTTGCATATCGTAATGGGCTTGGGGTTGAAGACGCCATCATCTACCTGCTTCAGAGAGCCCACTCTCATCTGGACCAGTCAGGCAGCACTTTGAGGGTCATGTTCTTTGATTTCTCAAGTGCCTTCAATACTATTCAGCCTGCTTTACTATGTGAGAAGCTCCATAACTTCCAGGTGGATCCTTCCACAACCACTTGGATTTATGACGACCTAACAAACAGACCACAGTTTGTGAGACTGAAAGGTTGTGTGTCTGAGATGGTGGTCAGCAGCACTGGAGCACCACAAGGAACTGTACTCTCACCATTCCTCTTCACACTGTACTCCTCAGACTTTCAGTACAACTCTGAGTCCTGTCATCTGCAGAAATACTCTGATGACTCTGCAGTTGTGGGGTGTATCAGTGATGGACAAGAAGCTGAGTACAGGGAACTGTTCAGTCAGTTTGTGAAATGGTGTGGTAACAATCACCTCATCTTAAATACCAGCAAGACTAAAGACATGATTGTTGACTTCAGGAGGAGCAAGAATAAGCAGCATAGTCCTGTCTACATCCTGGGAGAGGAGGTGGAGGTGGTGGAGAATTACAAATATCTTGGAGTTCAGCTGGACAACAGACTAGACTGGAAATGCAACACTGACTACATCTACAAGAAAGGTCAGAGCAGACTCTACTTCTTAAGGAAGCTGAGATCATTCAGTGTCTGCACCAAGATGTTGCAGATCTTCTATAAGTCTGTTGTGGAAAGTGCAATCAGCTTTGCAGCCATCTGCTGGGGCAGTAGCATCAGAACCAGAGACTTAAAGAAACTAAACAAGCTGATCAAGAAAGCTGGTTCTGTGCTGGGGATAACTCTGGAACCACTGGAGCTGATTGTTCAAAAAAGAATGCTGCACGAGATGATGAAGATGATTGAGGATTCTTCCCACCCTATCCACAACACAGTGAAGAATCAACAGAGTGTGTTCAGTGGGAGGCTGCGTCAGTTTCGCTGTAGAACAGAGAGATACAGAAATTCATTCCTGCCGACAGCCATCACCTTAAAGAACAAATCTGACTGACTGACAATTGACTGACTGAATGATTATTATTATTGTTGTATTAAAAAAAAGAAAAAAAAAAGTGAGCTTTTACAAAATTGAATTTCCCTTCTGGGATAAATAAACTATTCTTCATTCATTTTCGTTAATTTCATTTCATTTCATTACAAATATAACCAGATCACAGGTTTGCCTGAGCCATGTTTCTTTTCTTTGGTGTATCATCATCTTATTCACACCTGACAATCTGACAGTAGTGTGGTGCAGCCAGACCTCTGTCTCGTCACAGTAGTCATGGTTTGGAGAAAATCTTGTAAAAAAAAATGATGAAAGTTGGCAGACATGACACAGCTTTTTTTCTATTTGTGAAATATGACATAAGCTCTCACCTTCATAGTTTTATACGTTGGAAATATGACCACAGCAACCTGCCTCTTTGAGCATGGTGAGACAGATCAGGCAAGACAGTCATTTTGATTGTGGCACTTTTGATATTTAATTATCCCACTGAATCAGCAGACGCAAAAATGAGCATGTAGGCATTGTATAGAAAATACTTTTCCATTTATTTCATTGTCTAGTAGCATCTGTAATCAGTAGTGTAGTACTAAGCTGAGCACTGCAGTCAGTGTGTCACAGACAGAAAACCAGGAAAACACAAAAGGAATTGATACAGAGACTGGTAAAGAAAGGGTGGCTGAAAGAAATTAACAAAACAAACACAAAAAAACCCAAAAACACAAGAAAATAATATATTGAGCCCAAACAGACAACAATTAACAGGACTTACATTGTACAGAAATGGTTAATCAAAAAAAAAAATATATTTTTTTTAATTAAATATGCAACTTGATGAGAAATATTTCCTGAATTTTATTGTTGAATAAATGGGAAATAAAATATCATTCCAGGTCCCTCAGTTATCAACATTGTGCAGAAATGGGTTCTAAATTGACTCCCGTTATTAAAATAGAGAGTGCTTGTGAGTACGAGAAAGGTGGTGTCAAATGTGCATAATTAGTCCAAACAAGCTCAAAAATAATATGAATTAATAAAACCCACAATTTCTAAACCACTAGGCCCATGAACTGCAAGTTCCACTTGCATAATGAAACGCTCCTATAGGGCAAGTCATAGTCTAAACGTTTCATTTATGTACTATTGGAAATGTTGCAGCAATTTCCAATGTCTCAGAAGACAAATTTCTGGTAAAACAAAATGTGTATAGAGCGATATGGAAAATTACCTTTTGGAACCCAGAGGAGAAACTTAAATGCAAAGCATCTTAAATTACATAAAAAATTAAACAATTGTTAAAATAAACATCATAATTTACATATTTTGTTGTGGTTCAGTATGCCAAAATGTTATACTTGGACCAGTGTTTCTCGCACACAAAAAGTGATCAAGATGTTACATCAGTAATGCAAAGTATGTGTAGTTTTTGCTCCTATGAAAGCATCTTATAACTATAAATTTTGTCTTTGAGTTTTTATCGGTACCATATAATCCCACAGAGCAGTGTTGCTAGACTCAAACCAAGGAGAATCTGAGTGAAACTTATGTTTCTTCATATTGAAAGAGCAAAAAACCTGAGATATGATTCTGCTTTATGCCTCACAGGCGCCAAATCAATTCAGCACAGTAGCCGAAATGGCTCGCATCTGTATTTGAGGCAGAAAAGGAGAGAGAAAAAAAAAAGAGAAATGCACATTCAATAAGCGATTATAACATCCTCGTAACACCTCTGCTCAAGCTACAACTGCACCAGCTAAAGTATTGTGGTCAGTTCTCACTTCTCAATTGGTCGTCTGTCTGTAATTGGGGCACACATGTGCATTGCATGAAAATATGCTTTTCCAAATGTTCAACATATGGATTGTTTGGAATTTTAAAGCTGAAAGATCTAGCCAAATAGACAGTCACTTCCTGATGTATCCTTTGCTCTGTTCAGTACTACACAGAAATTGTTAAGTCACTTGCTTGCAATTCCAGCAATATGACCTGTCAGTGACACAAGCCTTAAGGAGCAGTGTTTCAACCAGCATGTGAAAATATAACAGCAGGTTTGTCAACAGACAAATACATTTAAAGTCATGGATGTCAGTCTAAGAGGTGCCTTAGCTTTTAACTGTTGGCCTAAATTGCATACAGCATTAGTTTTCCTTGCTTTTGCTTCTTGATAGGGCTGCACGTTAGCTCGGTGGTTAGCACCGTCGCCTTGCAGCTAGAAGATCCCCGGTTCGTCCCGGTTAGGACGCCTGGGATCTTTCTGTGCGGAGTCTCCACGTTCTCCCTGTGGAGCATGGGTTGTCTCCGGGTTCTCTGGCTTCCTCTCACAGCCCAAAAACATGTTGAGGTTAACTGGTGATTCTAAGTTGTCTGTAAGTGTGAATGTGAGTGTGCTTGGTTGTCTGTCTCTAAGTGTAGCCCTGTGATCGACTGGCGACCTGTCCAGGATGAACAATATTGGCTGGTACACAGTGTTGATAAATGATGGCCCAGGACTCTTATCTGTGCTATTGTTAGATAAGTCCCAAGATTAAAAGTCTGCTCTCCAATGTTATGCTAGACTAGGTCATACACAGCACACAGAACATGTAAAGGTCACAGGAGTACATCACAAAAATGTGGAGCTCATAAGTGGTTCTGTTCCTCTTGACCAAGCTGGTATCTGAGTTGCAGCAGTAGGTCTTAGAAAGTACAGTCACTGAAGGTGGTCTTATTTTTCCTCACTGGCCCTTTATTTGTATCACGGTAACTGACTGCTAGGCTTGCTAAGCCTGTGCAGGAAGAGACACCTTTGGGCTTTTTATTACCTATTTTCTGCAGCTGTCTTCATCCCTGTCCTAGGACCACCAATTTTCAGCTACCATCCTGTCAGCCTCTTGAGGAGCAGTCACACATGCCCTGACATAGGCACTGGCAGAATCCATAGACCAGGCAAACTGTCAGGCTTGATGGCACTAAGCTAACACATACAATACCCAGAGTCACTCTCTGAACCACCAACAAGTAGATTCCTAGAGGCAGTGAGCCAAAGTATAAGAAGCCCAGCAGCCAGACCAGAATGCGTGGGACATGATTACAGAACTTGGACAGGGCGTCTTGATCCGCTGGCCCATTGGAGCCTATCGATACTGAGTCCAGGCTCTGCTCAGCATAAACGTCAGAGCTGCCATTTTGGCTCGGGGAGTGCTGTGAGTCCCTCTGCACCTCCATTATAGTGATGACCAGGCAGTTGGAGGAGTCATGAGATGGGCTGGAGGAGGAAAAACTCTTTGGGGTCAGGACCACCTCTCTGTTCTGGTCAGAGCTCCATGATTTATCCCGCATTGCCAAGTGGGACATGATGTTAACATCGTCAGGCAACGCTGAAACCTCAAACTCTGTGATCTCAGTTTGGTGTCTGCAAAAGGGACAGGAGATGCAGCCTGCACTGTCTGCAATGTCCAGGATCTTAATGAGGCAGCGGGCGCAGACCCGGTGTAGGCAGTCCAGGATCTTAGGCTTCCGGTTGTGGACATTGTAACGCTGGTAACAGATTTGACACTCTAATTCCTCCGGAGGAGGACAGTCCTTCTCTTCTAACTCAGTCTGAGGACAGCTCATCTTCAAGTCATGTTCTGGGGAAACAAATATATGGAGATTAAAACAAAGAGTTAGATATATAGTTGACTTTCACATGTGACTTTAACTCAGATCGAAGAAAAATGAGGATGTTTCACAATACAGTCTCCTGTGTATCTACAGTGTGTGCAGCAGGAAAATGTCAGGGCTCTGCCTTCTTATCTGGCTGCTTTGTCTGTGTCCCTGCTGGTCATGAATGATTTATGGGTTGGGAGTTGGATCAGGGTGTCATCCCAGTGCCCTTTGTGGCAAAGCAAGAGCCAGTAGTGCGATTGATCTTCAGAAAGCTTCGCTTGGATGAGCTGCTCCTTTAACAAATTTTGTTGACTCAATGTTTTTGTGTTGAATACTGTAATGTTGCAGTTCTTAAATTAAATCTCCAGACCTTGAACTGAAGGTCTCACATTGCTACGTTTAGTTTTTTTATTTATTCAATTTCTTGGATTGTATAAAGACCTGTTTAGCTTTTTAATCGATCTGTTAGGGCACAGAACAGTAGAGCATAGATGCTAGAGATATTTTGTTTCAGAATATTACAATTTAGAACCCAACTACAATCTACATTTACAGTAAGCCCTTTTCACAAAAGTTGTATGCTTTACTTCTACCACCTACTTAGCCATCACATGTAAAGACAAGCATAGGTTATGATCTGGTGTGAATCACTGGCTGACACCATGCAAAAAGTCAAGGCAACACAGAAGTGCCAAAAACTTTAGCTCCTCAAATGTCCACTTAAGGCAGGCGCCAAAAGCTGGTTAAATCCTCATAGACCCCAATGTTAAATTGTAATATTCAACTTTACAGGAGAAATACACATTTTTATAGTGTGGTGCAAAAGATAGATTTTTTCTCTATAGCTAGTTTCCCCATACATGACAGCTGTGCAAGGGGCGAACTTTTATGCAATTCACCCCCTCAAAATGTATTATGGCTAAAATGTATGCATAATTATGGGTGTAGCTGTTTTAATTGATAAGTTGGTGCTGTCACAGAACAGTCCATGGCCTAGAGACATTTGCCTGGTCTGCCACCTGCTCCACCTCTTGTTCTTAGTTAGGTGGTATGTAGGAAGAGTCAGGCACCGTCAAGATGGTGACAGCCGAAACCACCACACTGAGCATCAAAACTGCTGTCTAGGAAATCTATAGGTGATGTAACAGAGGGTTCTTCCCTTTGTAAATACCCTCAATGGTTTGCACAAATTTGTGTACAAGTCATTAACACACTTATTTTTCACTCCTGCTTCTGTACTAGTTGCCAACAGCTTAAGTGAGATTGTACATAATAAGTGATTGCTACAGAAATCCTAAAGGGTTAACATGAGAAAACTCCTTCATGGAAAAGTGGCAAGAAACTATAAGATCAAACAGCTGTAAGCCTAATTCCATAGACATCAAGAATATGTAGGATGAAGTTAAAGAACATCCACCACCAGCACTCCACTCTAGATCTTTGTTGAGGGAGAGGCCTGTCTGCAGCTACATACTGAGTCTTTAAAGATTTCAAGATCTTCATAATATAAAAATAAAGTATCAAATTTAATACAGTCATTAATTAACTACTTCAGTTGTTTGCTACAGGCTATTTTTGGCTATTTCAAATATCCACTCATAGAATAACAGTTTTACAATTAATAACCTGTTTTCTCCTAGTTTTCTTGGCTTGATTTTTTTCACTTGGGTCACATGTTTTGAAGCTTTTGAGTGACACTCAGTGATATTAACACAATGGTGTTATGGTCTTTTTTTAATGTTACCTGTTGGTATGGTGTTAGTATGATGGTAAAAAGTGGTCAAAAGACAACCAAGAATAAAACATTTTTTAAAAAGGAATTAAAAGCTGCTGCCCTTCCTTTCGAAGCAGCACCTTAGGGCTCAACTAAAGTTTGCCGCTGATCACATGGACAAAGAAAACGTCTTCTAGAGGAAGTTTCTGTGGTCACATAAAACAAAAATGTACTTATTTGGCCACAATGACCAGCATGTGGCCAAATAGCTCCTCCATATTTGGAGGGGTAAATGGAAATGGAATAATAAAGGAGGCTAGCCTCCACATTCTTCAGGAATACCTAATATCATCAGCCAGAAGATTGGATTTTGTAAGCAGTTGGATGTTCCAACAAGACAATCAGCCCATACACACATCAAAAATAGTAAAGAAATGGATGAATCAGGCTAAAATTAATTCAAGTTCAAGACTTGTCTCCACAAAGTCCTGTTTTGAACCCCATAAAGAACCTGTGGTCTGTGATGAACAAACAAGTCTGTGTCAGACAGCCAACAAATCTAATTGAACTGCCGAACTGGTCAAAGATACAACTAAAAGAATGGATGGCTGCCAAGAGCAACTAATTGATGTGAAAATGGTCAAGGGACACTTAACCAAACATTAAAATTGCTTTAATAAATCTTTGAAAGAACCAAAATGCTTGAGTGTTTGTTGTGACAACAATGCATGTTTCAATCATTCCATCATAGAAAATGAAGAGTTGTAAAGTCACTAGAAACTCAAGATTTCCCTGATATACGTGGTCTTTGTAAGTGTAAGTAAACTTTAGTTTTGTTGAGACTGCAGCCTGAGCGTTGGTTTGTCAGAAAATACATTTAGATTCAGCATGCAACAATGCAACTGGAAGAGAAATTACATGACGTACAGTGCATCATTACAGCTCTTGGAGCTGTCACCTCCAGAAGTTCTCTGATGATACAGCCATTGCCTGGTGTGTATCTGAGGGGAACGATCGGGAGTAGAAAACCGTCATCACTGACTTTGTAAACTGGTGTGAGCAGAACCATCTTCAGCTCAACACCAGTAAGACGAAGGAGATGGTCATTGACTTCCGTAGGAGGAAGACACCCCAGACTGTACAGGTCAACATTCAGGGTCTAGACATCGAGAGGGTGGAGACCTCTAGATACCTTGGTGTTCGC